AAAGAGTTTTCCCCCTTGCAAAATTCTCAAGCAGCCCCTGATGCCCAACAGGACACGAGGGCTCTTCCTTCCCTCTGCACCGACACTGCAGCCGCGGTGCGCGCGCACACACACACACACGTAACACACAGAGCGCACGTGGGCAGCATTAAAGGCCTTTCGGTCCTTCAGTGCACGCCCTGACACGATACGAACATCAGAACTCCCTTTCTCCATCTGTAGAGCCCCTGCAGGCTGTTGCTAAGCCTAACCCCATTTTGGCCTTGGTTTTGCTCCTTTAGCAACAACAGCGAGACACGTACTGCGCAGCCAGAAAAACCTTCTGTTGGAAACAACGCACAGATGCGTGTTGGCTTCTCAGAGGATAGTGCTGAGCCGGGGTGTTTCATACCTCCCAGATGAGAAACTGATGTGTTTTTTTAAATTTTCTGTTGCACTACAGGACAAAAGGCTAACTTTCTCCCCTCTCTTTCATCTGCTATGAACCCTGAAAGAAGTGAAGTCAGAAGAGTGACCCTGGGTTTATATCACTGATGGCAAGATCAACCTCAGCCTGAAAGTAAGATTAAAAAACTTGCACTGTAAGGATAAATAGGGTGCTCCCATAAAATTCTCAACATACAATAAATTGGCTTGTAGAGCAGGTATTGATAAATCAGCAGGGCATCTTTTAAGAAAGCTTACGAAATCACAGCACTCACACTTTTGCTTCTTTGTTATTATGTGCTTTTTTTCTTACCGTAAATCATTGCCACTGAGTTTAATAGGCCTTACACAATATTGTAAGTATCTCTTAAGTAATATAATTGCTATTTGTGATCCCACTCATGCTTGAAAGCTTTTTTTACTGGAGGGGAAATGTTCCATTTTCCAAGTGACTCATTTGTAATGAAAACTGAAACCCCACCTCGTGTGCAATGAAAGAGAATAAAATGAGAAGGCATTTTTATGTGACACGCAGCGTCTCACTTGGGCATTCTGAGTAGCTGTTTTAAGATTCAGCAACATATTGCTCATGGAGACTGGTCCTGTTGA